TAAAAGCTTATGGCAGTCAGCTAGAAGATATGGGCATAACTGGATATACCATGGACAGGTAGTTAACTTGTCACCCTGATGACAAAGCAGATTGTTACATTGATAGTTGGCACATTTTCTGGCAGTTGCTAAGACAACAAAAATCCATTTATTATGCACAAAGGGACACACTTTGCTGTTGGACTCATTAACACAGACCATGACACTTACTCTTTTAGCCTTCTAACTGGTTTATTATTGTGAGGTTTAGATGAGATACCCAGCATGCTTTTGATTCCTTCTACTTGAACTAATGGACTCAGTTTAACTGCTTTCTCTTTACTTTCCTTGATTGATTTCCTCTCTCAAATATACCAGAGAAAAGGGATGTCTAGTTCCATTCCATCATTTTATCCAATGCCAATCCATGAAGAATATCTGGCTGAAACCGAATGGTGGAAAGACTAAAATGGTAAGCGTAGTGTGGAAAGAACTTACCACCTCTAGAATATCTCTCTACACTGGAGGCATCTGCCTTCAGATCGTTAAGACAGTCTACCCCCACAGTCTCCACTGCACCCTTCAGGGCTTCTGAAGACCCAACTACCCATAGCTGTGAAAAATGCCTTTTTCCATCTGCAGCTGGCCAGGAGACTGCACCCCATGCTGTCAGCTTCAGATTTAGCCAGAGTAGTTGATGCATTTGTGACCTCAAGGATTGATTGCTGCAGTTTTCTGTACCTACATATGAAACCAACAACCTTAAAAAAGCGGCAACTGGTATAAAACAGCAGCTCCTTTCTCAGTAACACAGAAACTACATCACCCCAGAATTAATCTCTTAACTATCTTTCCTTTGAATACCACATCACTCAAAGTTTTGGCTCTCATCTTCAAGTCTAACCTGACAAACTGCCTCCCCCTGCACAATCATGACTTCCCACAACAGCTACGTTTCATGGGAACAATGGAACATGAGAGTGAGATTCATATCTACAGAAGACAGAGCTTTCTTGGCAACCGACCTGTGCCTCTGGAACTGACTCCTGGAAAAGATGAGGATGACCACAAACCTCAGCACCTTCAGAGCAATATGCAATCCTTTCTTCAGCGTTGGCTTCCCACAATAATACCACAAATATATATACATACACATATACACACACACAAACAAACCTAGGCCTGGTTGACTGAAGTGGAGAGAAAAAATGTGTGTGTTCGCTTTGCGATTTCATGAGCCACTCAAAGAGAGTGATGGGTGCTATATAAGAACATAGATAATAGACACTGTCATTCTATAATCAGCTAAGCAAATCAGAGACTTATGCATAGATTTTCAGTGTCAGCCCCTTGTTGTCAATTATTGACTATCAGCCACTTGGATTACAATTGATTAAAGGATACCTGGAAAATGCAAAGAAGCCAATGGCTCCCCAAAGTGAAATAATTACATTCTGGCTATCATTTTGAAGGTTATGATCATGGGGAAAATGTAAGATCAAGTTTGCCTAGAACACACTGGATTCTCATTTATTCCCATGAGAATCAGGAGTAAATCCAGTGAAATCACTGGAATGACACTAGTGTAACTGAGAGGAAACTCAAGCCTATGCTTTCAGGAAATACAGAGATCAAGCATTACAGCTCTACATTTACTGCAGCCACCAGGCCTGATTCGCCATCGCACTGCACCTGGTGTAATCATTGGCACCAGGGCACAGTGGGTACCAAATGCCATCAGGCCAGATTGGTAGCATTTTTCTGCTAGACACAAGGTGCAAGGCAGTGGAGAATCATGACAATTTTAAAGATAAAGCAAGAGAGCAATTATATACATGGACAGCTGTTAATTTAACAGCAGACATGTGCCATGTAACTGACTGAAAACATTATGAGATTGTCTGATGACCTTAATCTGTGCAAAACTGACTATTCTTTAGAGAAGTGTTTTGGCATGTCAATGTAGTTAGCCTGTCAGAGTTAAATACTTTCAAATATTTGCAATCTTACACCTTTGATTTAGTATCTTGATCGTTATTAAATATTAGTTAGGTTGATTTAGCTGATCATCTCAAAATAAGCCACAAATACTTAAAGGAAATTCCCAGACATTCAATAGACCCAGAGATGGACTGGTTGAAGCAAGTTATCTTACAATCTCACTAATGTTTGGGCTGCACTAAATAGCTTAATTTTTTTCTCCCCATCTTACATCTGAAAGGTGCCCTGATTTACCCTTTTAAAGGAGCAGTACTATCTAGGCAGCAGCCATCCCCTTCAGAACTTGCACAACTCATTTCATGTATCCATCGACTACACTCTCAAACAGATTCAAACTGGGCATGTAGCAGTTAAAAGATTCTGAACCCCATGACCGGTTGCTGAGCCATGCAATCACTTTAGATTCATGTTTTGAAATCAGTAGGTTAACAGCCCACCTATTCTATTTTTAAAGTTTTCTGTCTCAATAGGTCAATTCTCCATCCTCCTATTCTTTTGTGCTCTTTAGGCAGAAACAATATATAATTCAATCCCCATCTATATTGTAGGTGGGTAGAATTGCTTTTATTGATAGTAAGTTGAGTACTTGGAAACTCTGAACAATTTTTGCTCAATTATTTTGTGCTGGGAAAAAATCGTTCGATACTCAAGACTACACAAAGAGGATATTTCATATCTGCGCAGAGGGTTCTTAATTGAACTTTTGCCCCAAAGCTAAGCTTTCCTGTAGCTAAAGTGCTCCCTGATGCCATGCTGGGGTCATGTTCTTTGTCAAGAAAGCAGAGCTTTAAATTCTAGTTAATTGTTATCCCCAGCTGCCTTTCCCCCCTTTTATTAATGCCACTTTAAAAACAGTTATTTATGTGTGCAATTGTTTCCCTGCTGCCCCATAACTCCCCACCACAATGTAATGAACTGCATGGCTATATCCCATGCTGTATGGCATTAAAATCATAGCACCAGTCAAAAGAATGTAGCCCCAGCAGTTATTATATAGAAACTGAGTTGTATGCGACTCAGTAATAAGGCAAGCAGTTGGAATATGAAACCAGAATGCTTTCTATATACAGTCATTAAGTTAGGGGTAACCCAGGGGATTAATAATGAGGTATGGAGACTTTCACAGTTTGGTGGAGATCAAAAATTTGTTTAGTCTGAATTAAATTTGTGGCCTCAGCACAGTTCCCTGTGGACAGGCATACACATCACAACACAAAACTGGCAGAGGGAAAAAAAGCCCTTAATAGGCATCATCTTTGGTGACAATCACAGAACAACAGTCAAGGACTGAATGGGCCATGGAAACTGGGTTCCCCCCACCTTTGGAGGCGATCCTTTCAGCTCAGGTTTGAGGCATACTGAGAATGGGGCACCAAAGGAAAGCTTACACTACTGCCCATGCTGTAACATTGAGAAGGAGAATCAGCAGAATTCACCCTGCAGGGCTGTCAAGCTGACACCCTTCTCAGTGAATTCACTTACTAAAAAAATGAAGGAACCAAATGGAAGTGGTGTTGGTCTGAATCTTTCTGGAATGAACCATCCTCTGACACTTCACCTTTCCAAGGCATTAGATAGAAGGATTCCTACTACAGTCTCACAAATAATGCACTGTTTTGGGATGCCAACCAATTAAACATGGACTACAGCAGAGTGCATTCCAAAAGAAATGAAAGTATGTCAGCGTGGTTCATAAAACAGAGAGAGCCTTCAGGTGAGGCTCAGTATTGTATATGCCAAGTTAGTCTAGCTGGATTCCTCTGTGTCCTTAGATCTAGGTGTTACAGTTTAAATAGTACTTTTCTCCCCCACCAGGAGTACTTTAAGGCTTCCCAGCTGACAGAGAATCACTTAATCTTTGCTGTAAATGCCAACACTTCATTTAAAGTGTCCCATTATTACTATTTTTGGCATTCATTATGAACCTCCACATCATAATTCATTTGGCATATGAGTGTTATATGTTCCATGGACTCTGTTAAAAGTTAGTGTTAATTACCACTGTATGGAGTTAAAATGAAGTGTCATGCCATAAATTCTTAAAGTGTGGGATTGGATAGTTATGATCAAGTCAGATGCTGGGCCTAATAAAGTGATATATTCCACAGAAAAGTTAATTAAAAATTGTGGGACTGATGGAATTTCATATTCTTGGCTTATAAAGGACAAATCGGGTGAAATGCTTCCCCATCAAAATGTCCCCACTCTGAATGCTACTCAATGCCAATCATTTAAGAGGGAGCTGGATACAACTCTCATGAGTGTATGTGGGAACCATAAATAAAATGGTTTGTTCAAAGCCCTCTTATGGTTTTTGAGTTGTACCATGAGTTTATTTGAGATTTCTGCTTTGTTTATTGATTTTAACACAAATAAGTCCTCCTTCCTCTCCCCCCCCCCCAAAGGGATGGAAAGGAGAGCTGTTAAATATGCTGTCAACTTTAAGAGAACATTCTCAGGCATGATCATGGAGTGCAGAATACTTCACTTCCCATGCCGAAGGTTTATCAGTTATTACTCAAGCAATTACTATTCACCTTAAAAAAAATTACCCAGGTCATTTCTTCAAGCCTTTTCCTAATGACAGTCTCTGTTCAACTGTTCCAAACATGTGAGATTCGGATTTGTGTTAGTTTTAACAACACTAAAAGAATATTTTGGAAATGTTTTTCCTCCCCCCAGGGCTCTCTCTCCAGCCTGATGCTTGATAGCCTTGAAAGTCAAGGGCATCTAGCTCTAGGAATAGGAGGCGATCGCGCCTCTCTCTCTCTAGCTGCGGCTTCGTAAATTGAAAAGTCAATTTCACTAATCTACAGAAAATCCAGCACAGTTTTACCTTTAATCCGCTGTGATGTGCTACAAAAAAAGCCAGAGCCAGCACCACCCCCGTCAGCCAGAACAAGAAAAGCTTGGAAAATTCAGCCTCTCCGGGGCTAGATGCTAGGTTCCTCATCTTGGTCTTTCTGCGACCAATCGCACGCTGTCATTCCCCCACCCCCATCATATTGTTTTATACTCACCATATCATAAACATTCAGAATCACCGGTTCATTTGCCATTGTTGATTGCGGCGGACACTGGATTTAAACCCCCAAATCCCTGCCAGATGTGGCGCGGCCCCCAGGGTACGCTTTTACCCTCAGCTACATAGGATGGGAAATGTCTTTCTATGGTCGCCGAAGAAAGAAGCTTGGCTGGGGTGGGGTAGGGGGACACACGCTTTTCCGGGTGCCAAAGTTGTGGGGGTGTTTTTTCACCCCCCACCAGCAGAGTCAATCCTGGGTTTCTTTCTAACGCTGCTGCTCATCGGGGTTGCTGCATTGGTACAATACACTACCCAGGCACCCTCCAGCCTTGTAACTGCCAAACCAAAGGACAGCCAGAGCAGGCTCTCTGCAAAGATATCAGCCCCCCCGTCTCCAGAAAATATGCAAAGGGGGGGGGGGTTGAATTAGTGAAAGAGGGGAAGACTCCCAGGCAAAGTAGGCATTCAAATGGAGCAGCCGAATAGGTAGCAGCACAGCCGGGGGAGGAAGGTCAGCTCCCCATCGCTGCGCTGGCGCGGGTAGAATCAGGTCCAGATCGCTGCCCTCATCCTCCCGGGGTCACCGCTCCCACCGGGGCCGGGCTTGGCTTGACACACCCGCGGGGCGGTGCTGCTGTCCCCGCGTCTCGATGGGAGCTGTCCGGGTGCTGAAGTTTCTCTCCGGGTCTCTTCTCGGGCCGCGGGCGGGGAACCCTGCGGAGCCGAAAGGGCATCGGAAGTCGCAACAGGGAGCTGCGGCGGGACTCCGGCTCCGGCCTGGCTGCCGGGTGGGGAGAGGGACGCGCCGCAGGCCAGACCAGCCACTGGGCTCTCAGCGAGCCCCGGAGTTACTCGGCCAGCGCATCCGTAGGAGTTTGTCCCCGGCCCGGCGTGCAGGGAGCTGCCCGAGTGCTGAAGGGCGGGCTGGAGCGCGCCCAGCGCGGGAAACCTTTGCTCTTCCCGTCACTCGGAGCGTGGGGTGAGCTGCGAACCCTACTTCGGGATCCGCTTGTCCCGCAGCAGCCAGTCTCCGGGGACTGGGAGCCGATGGAGCCCGCGCCGCTCTCTGCGGGGCCGCTGCATCCCCGCCCGCGGATGGGGGAATCCGAATTGGGGAGCGGGCTGAGCGAGCAGTGTCGCTGCTGACAGCGGCGAGCTCGGGAGTTGCCTCCTCCCCGGCGCTAGTTAGGCAGGCGCCGGGCACTGGCAGCTCCGCAATTTCTTGCAACCGACTCGCAAACAGCGTTCAAATCCGAGCAAACGGGAACATCCATTGCGGTCAATCCCCTCCTGCTCTTCCTTTCGCTTTAAGGGAATCGCGGGGTCTGGGCTGGGGGGATGGGCGGCAGGGGGCTTCCTAGAGGCATCCGTTTTTCCGGGGGAGCCGCGAGCTGACCTTAATGCTGAGGCAGCGCAGATCTTGCCTGTAGTACCCAAAAAGGGGAGCTGGGATGACCTCATCGGAGTTGGAGGCGTCGCTCAGGCTCTCTGCCAGCTTGCAGCCAACCAGATCTGAATGAAAAGTGCAGGGAGCCTGTTACATCAGCAAAGCCCAGCATTCCCCGGCCCTCCACAGGCAACAGCTGAATGCTTTCCTCCGCCACATGGGAAACACTCAATAGACGAGAAGGTCTCTTGGGGGTGACAATAACCCCAGTGCTGATGGCCTGGGAGTCAAAGTACTGCACCTGCCTGCCTAGATGGTTCATTATGCCATTAATTAGTAACCCGGTGTGTGTTAGGGGAAGGGGGGTGAAAAAATAATTTGCTTTTACAATCTTTTAACCATCCTTCATTGTTCTCTTTCGAGGTGAACCTTTCACAAATTCTGTGTTAAACATTAGGCACCTCTACTGAACCCCGTTTAACACCTTTTTCAGCCTGTAGTTTAAAGGAGAAGTGTTGTATTTTCAGTGTGTGTATATAAGGACTGCTGAGCTAATCAATTTCACACAAGTGCCCCAGTGCTTGCAAGGAAATCAACAACATTCCAGCTTGCCAAGGGAGGACAAAACATGTCAGATAGTTTGAAGTACTGGCCTGTTCATTTCTAGCAACACCAGCAGCCTTGTTTTTAAAGGCCCCACCGTTTTTCCTCTGGGTAGGATAATTTACATTGAAGCTAGTATTTTTGGTGGTGTTTTCTGCTCCTGTTATTGCTACAGTAAGGACTTTTTAAAATATAATCAGCTTTATTATATCACAAGAACTCAGAGTGCAGCCTAAAAGGCAGAGTCCTAAAATACCTGTTGCCACCCTCTGGCAGGGACTGTAGGGGTGAGGCCAGAGTTGATCAGCTGTAAACTCTCAGCCAACAAGCAATTTCTAGTCATCCTTCTAGAAAGATATAAGTACAAGCAAATAGAATTGTGTGCCTTTAGGGACAAATCCTGGCCCTGCCTCTCTACCATTCAGAGAGTCTCCTAGCAGAAGACCCCATGCATCTCTGCTGTGCAAGAAAGGGCAGGGGAGATGGAGGGCACATATACAGGAAGCTTTTATGGATTAAAGGGTATCAGAGTAAGGCAGGCCCCAGGTCAGATGACCTGCTGCTCTGGGGAAGTCTTCACTCCATTCAGAAAGATCAGAGTCCAGATTGATTTCAATGGGAGTCTAGGCACTTTTGAAAATCCCAATATGCATTTATCTGTATCCTTAGGCACCCAAACACTTTTAAATACTGGTCCCGGAGGCATACTGCATCCTCTGGATTGCAGTAGCAGCTGCTCCATGGGGGTAAGATTCCTTCCCTCATTCATATCTTCCTTCAGTTCAGATTCTTGGTTTGAGAGCTGGGAAATGGATTTGCCCTTTAACTTATTGCATGCTATTTAAAAAATAAAGGTAAAGATTCTATACTGCTAGTTATTAAGCATCCTAAGCTCCTAATGGATGCATTTACTCAACCTCACAAGGGATAGGGCCCAAAAAAGCAGCCATCACACTCCTGCTAAACTGGCAACAAGTCCTTGGGATCACACAACAGGAGTGTTCCAGTGTAACAGGACACCTGCTACTCAAGCACCCCTCCATGGGCTGCAGGCACCCTACTTTAGGATGCCTCTCCTTCAGGGCTTTTTAATAAACTCCACACAAAGATCAGTGCTAAACATGTGTCTTAACCCTCCACCCATATCAAACAAACTTAACCCCTGGCAGGGGTTGCAAGATTCCACTAAGAAGGTCCCAAATAACAAAACAGTTCTTAAAAACACCCTGTTCTCAGCCCCTTTCTGGGCTACCTTTGAGTATTTCCCCTTCTTCTAGTATCAAACACTCAGCACCAGACTGACTCACCTAGAATACCATTCCCCTACAGACCCCACCCCAAAGCCTTCCACAGGGGCCAGCCTTTCCGCTTGCTTACTATCTTTCTTTTCCCAGAGCAAGTTCCCTGAGTCCTTTTTTAAGGCCCAGGTGCCTATTAAAGTATCAGCTGATCCCTCTTAGCCCCCCCACCCCACTCAGGTTGGGAAGGAGCTAATTAATTATGGCACAGGAGGGGCTGGTCCCATTTCCTCTTAAACGGGCTCATCACTGTAACATATCTTATCTACACACCATACTATGTTACTGGATAAAATAATCTGATTCACAATATCTGCTGCCCAGACAGACCCTGAATCAAAGTCCATTGAAGTCAATGAAAAGACTTTGGAGCAGGCCATATTACAAAGATGGATTCTTAGATATACTAAAATAGATTTAAAGTAAATTGATCATGGCTTGCAATCTTTTATTCACTTTTATCCTAAAGACATTTCTAAAGATAACAATCATTTAGATTAAAAAAAAATCTTGTAATAATTAAATTAAGCCAATGGTTCTATGTATTTTTAAAGTAGCTTAAGGATCAGAAAAAACAGGGTTGGGGGAATCAGATTTAAAGCTAAAAGTCCATCCTTAACTTCACGTAGTTGTCTTTAGTGAACAAACATAATTGAAAGGTTATTTGCTATTTAGAGACTTTTGTAGTACTGAGATACAATGAATGTTAGTCTCAGAACTGAATTTCCTTGTATTTGTAAGTTGAGATCAGTTCCGTAAAATGACTTCAAACAGTTATTGTTTAATTTCCTTGTGTTTTTGTCAGTTGTACTAAAACATCTTACTAACAAACAGAAGGTGTTTGCAACTTTAATTGGAATCAATGTGGGCTAATTTCAGCCTTGATTTAAATTAGAACATAAGAATGGGCAAACGTGGTCAGATCAATCATCCATTTAGCCCAGTATCCTGTCTTATGACAGTGGTCAGTGCCAGATGCTTCAAGAGGGACTGAACAGAACAGAGCAATTTATCAAGTGACCCACATCCCCTGGCACCCAGTTCCAGCTTCTGGCAAACAGAGGCTTAGGGACACCCAGAGCATGGGTTGCATCCCTGACCATCTTGGCTAACAGCCATTAATGGACTTATCCTCCAGGAACTTATCTAATTCTTTTTTGAATCCAGTTATACTTTTGACCTTTAAAACATCCCCTGGCAATGAGTTCTACAAATTGACTGTGCACTGTGAAGAAGTGCTCCCTTAGGTTTGTTTTAAACCTGCTGCCTATTAATTTCATTGGGTGACTTCTGATTCTTGTGTTATGTGAAGGAATAAATAACATTTCCTCATTCACTTTCTCCACACCATTCATGATTTTTTAGACCTCTACCATATTCCCCCCATAGTCATCCCTTTTTCAAGCTGAACAGCCCCAGTCTTTCTGATCTCTTCTCATAGGGAAGCTGTTCCATACCCCTACTCACAGTGGTTGCCCTTCTCTGTACTTTTTCTAATTCTAATATAGCTTTTTTAAGACCAGAACTGCACACAGTGTTCAAGGTGTGGGTGTACCATGGATATATATAGTGACATGATCTTTTCCCTCTTATTATCTATCCCTTTTCTAATGGTTCCTAACATTGTTAGCATTTTGATGGCTGCTGCACATTGAGCAAATGTTTTCAGAGAACTATCCCCATTGACACCAAGAGCTCTTTCTTGAGTGCTAATAGCTCATTTAGATTCCATCATTTTGTATGTATAGTTGAGATCATGTTTTCCAATGTACACTACTTCACATTCATCGACACTGAATTTCACCTGCCATTTTGTTGCCCAGTCACCAAGTTTTATGAGATCCCTTTGTAACTCTTCACAGTCAGTTTTGGACTTAACTCTCTTGAATAATTTTTTACCACCTGCAAACTTTGCCACCTCACTTTCTCCCCCTTTTTCTAGATCATTTATGAATATGCTGAATAGGACTGGGCCCAGTACAGACCCCAGGGGGATACCTCTCGCCACTGTAAAAAATGACCCTTTGTTTCCTATCTTTTAACCAGTTATTGATCCACAAGAGGACCTTCCCTCTTATCCCATGTCTGCCTACTTTGCTTAAGAGCCTTTGGTGAGTGACCTTGTCAAATGCTTTCTGAATATCCAAGTACACTACATCCACCGGATCACCCTTGTTCCCATGTTTGCTGACCCCCTCAAAGAATTCAAATAGCTTGATGAGGCATGATTTCCTTTTACAAAAGCAATGTTGGCTCTTTCCCAACTAATTATGTTCATCTATGTGTCTGATAATTCTGTTCTTTACTATAGTTTCATCCAATTTGTCTGGTACCGAAGTTAGGCTTACTGGCCTGTAAATTACCAGGATTGCTTCTGAAGCCTTTTTTTTTTTTTAATTCAGTGTTGCATTAGCTATCCACCAGTCATCTGGTACAGATGCTGATTTAAGCAATAGGTTACATACTACAGTTAGTAGTTCTGCAATTTCATATTTGAGTTCCTTCAGAACTCTTGAGTGAATATCATCTGGTACTGGTGATGTATTACTGTTTAATTTATCAATTTGTTACAAAACCTCCTCTATTGACACCTCAGTCTGGGACGGTTCCTCAGAGTTGTCACCTAAAAAGAATGGCTCAAGTGTGGAAATCTCCCTCACATCCTCTACAGTGATTTTATTTAGCTTCTCCACTATGTCCTTGTCTTTCTTGAGTAGTCCTTTACCATCTGGAGCATCCAGTACCCCACTGCTTGTTTGGCTGGTTTCTTGCCTCTGAGGTACTTAAAAATAATTTACCATGTAGTTCCCCTTTTTGAAGTTAAATGCTACTGGGGTGGGTTTCTTTGGTATTTTCCCCTTCACAAGGAAGATAAATTTAATTTCATTATTGTTGTTATTACCAAGCAGTTCAGCTATATTCACCTGTTGGACCAGATGCTATGTACCACTTAGAACTAAATCAAGAATTGCCTCTCCACTTGTGGGTTCCAGGACTAGCTGCTCCAAGAAGCAGTCATTAATGGATGCAAGTCCGTTGACTTCAGGTTGAATTCAAATTAACACTGAAATCAATGGAATTGTGCTCACTAAAACCAGAGTCTGATTTTGGCCCATTGAATGCACTAAGATTTAGATGAATTGTGTGTATTACATGAAGAGGTAGTAAAACTCGTGGTTAGGACCTTTAGGACTGGGGCTCAAGAGATCTGGGTTTGTGCCTGG